GGGAATAAAGTTGAGAAGAAGAGTTCTTTTTGTCTACTTAATATCAATCCAATTAACAGTAATTACAAGAAAAAGTTGTTCTGTATATGCCATCCAAACATTTATAGCAAGTGCTAATTTACTTTTATTACTCTTCAATATTTCTTTAATTTTTAGTTTTGCCAAGTCAAAATACCTTTTCACATTTGTGGAGAAGGTTTGGTAGTAAGAAATCTTATAATCTGGATTAAGATTTGAGACGAATCTTACAAAAAACGCCTCTTCAACTATTGAAAATGGTTGTTTATTAATGACAATTCATCACATTAAATTGTGATTCAAAGATTTAATATGGTGTTGTTTAATAGTTGAATAAAAGGAAGATTTATTGGCTTGTGAGGAGTCTGTATAAGAGTGCAGATACTTTATATTAATATGATATATTTTAGTTGAAACTAACGTTTCCTCCTCCAATTCATCTTTACATCTCTTGCAAAACTTAGAAATTTCAAGTTCATTACTAAGCTCATTAAGATACTTCTGAACTAATTCAAATTTTCGTTTTTTCACTTGTTTTCCTTTAATGTTATTAGGTTCAACATATTTTTCTGTTTTCTGAAGAGAACATTGGGCATTTTTGTGAGAGGATTCTTCAGAAGAATCAGAAATTAGGTAAGGTGATGTCAACATGATTATGAAGGTTCAGAACATGATATTGAATATAGATAAAATTAATGTAAGAGAAAAGAAAAGTAATTGACTATATAATTTCATGATTTTAAAAATAGAAATTAGATTCTAAGAAAATTCCTACTCAGTATTTTCAAATTACCCAAGTTATCAGGTAATTTATTATATAATATAGTTGCTTTGGACCAAATTCCTATTTTAAATCATACAATAATGAGTGTTTAAATCTCAATATTGCAGGTATTATTATAATAAACTTTTAATTGTTTGATTATATTTAATTATTAATAATAGATTTGTATCAAACAATAATTCTGTATAAGAAAATCAATACTTTTATTTGCTTTATCTAAAATTAGTTAAGTATACTACAGAAAAAAACTTGAAGAGTTTGTTAAATTCTTATTATTCGAATTCTAAAATCTATTATCGCAATTAATGCTAATTATTATTTTGGCTAGTATTATATTTTTTTTTAGCCTTGTTGATATGAATATGGAAAGTATGAAATTTGTATAAATTAATTTGAAGAACATATAACAGTAATTATTTAATATAATATGTAGAAAACATTTTTTAGTCTAATGAATTATATTTCTAGTTAGCGACGACTAAAACAATAAGAGGTTCTTTACTTACTATATTAAGTGATTATTGTAATATACTCTTCAAAATTATTTATACAATAAAGTGTTGCTTAATCTATTTAGAATTTTATTGAATAATTTTCTATATTACATTATGAAAATTGTTATTGACTTGATATCCAACCATTTAGAGTGCTATTAATGTGTGTTAATGTGTTAAGATTTTTTGTTTAATTATTAGATTATTATTAGATACTTTCCAAATTTATATTTACAATTATCTTCCTCATATTGAGATATAAATATAGAAGTATACTATACCAATTCCTGATTAAGAAACAAAAACCTTTAACATAAAAATCACTTTAGAGATTTTTGAATTACTATAATAGTAAATTGTCATATACATCATATTTTCAATAAACAATTTGATATTTTATTCGCTACTTTTCCAAAAATGCTAAAATATGAGTTTTATAATACAATCTGGTGGGTTATCAAAATTCAAGAATATTCTTAGATTCTATTATGATGGATTAAATAATGATTTATTTTAAGAACCAAACTATATTTGCTATTCTTTTCAAAAATAGTAATTACTGTATTCATTCGATTAATTATATGCGATATAGTTTTTATAGAACTACATTTTTAGATTCTATAATATCTGATTAAGTTTAGATATTTTATTGTAACAAAGTTGAATTTAGAACTAGTGATAGGATCTTTATAATAATGAATACAATGCAAGATTTGTAAAATTAGCTACTGATATTAGTATGATAGAACAAACCTCAATATGTGCAACAGTAGAATGCACTAAAGCCATTTATCAATTCTTAACCAGAGAAACACCAAAGCATTAAATAATAGCAAAAACTGTAGCATGATAGAATAATGAAATAGCCAGCTTATTATTTATCCAAAATCATCCAATTGAACCTTCTAGGTTTTTTGGCTACAGCATTATGGTTAATGAAAGTACACAGAGAGAAACTAAAGTGTTAATTATTTGTATCTCATATTAGAATCATATTAAAGAAAAACCCACAATCACTATAATAAAAGTAAAAAACTTAATAAATTGTAATTCTGAAACAGTTTCTATCGCAGTACTCAAAGCATGTCAACAAAATGGAATTGATCCCAAAAATATTATTTTTGGTTAACAGATAATACAGCTTATATGTTCTTAGAGGTTAATGGTGGGTTGCTAAATTCAATTTATTAGCAGCATCTAAATCATTTCAGATTCCTTATGGATTACATGCAATCTACATTGCTCTAACACATTTTGAAAATACGGCATTTGGAAAATTAGATTCCGGCAAAGGATTATTATTAAAAAAGCATCCATATAATTTACTTAATCTTGCTTTCTATCTTCACGACGGATATAATATTTAGATAAAGACAGTCTGTTAAACCTAAAATCAAGAATATTAAAAAAAAACTTTATAAAATTGTAGTTAACTTTGAAATGTATCAATATTAACAGTCTATTCGTCAACAATGATTATATGAGCTTAAAACTGCTAAACAATACCTTAATAGACATGAAGTCTATATCTACTTTGCACACTTCTTTATTGAACAACTCGAAAATGCTAAAGAAATTCTGAAATCATACTTAAATAAGACCATACAAATTTAATTTATTGATTTTCATAACATGAAATTTTTAAACTGACCCGGCCGGCCGGCTTTTTTTTTTAAATTTCATATATAAAAATTTTATAAAATTTTTAGAATTTTTTTTTAAAAAAACCACCCGGTTATTAAAACATATAAAAAAATTTTTTTACAAGTTTTTGAATTTCGACCCGGCCGGGTTATGAAAATCAATTAATTAATTTTGCATGGCCTAAGTGGCAATTATTTCTTACATGGCTTACGGATAAGCTACTTAACCTTTAAATACAATGTCTCGTTAAATTTAGTCAAGAATTTTATGAGCCCGTTTATAATTTTCTGATTGGACATGACCCGATTCCACAAATCCACCAACCAAATAATATATACACTCTTCCACCAGGCAACTATGCACATAAAATGCTGAATAAAACAATGCTATAGATTCAAAAGCTTCAGCATTGTCTAGAAAATATTCATGAAATTTCAGTAATAAATTAGCTAATACTGAACATGAATTGAATGCGACAGATTTTGAAAATTTTCGTACATCATTATATACTGGAATAGAAGGTGTATTAAATAGATTCGTCAAATAGATGGAAGTCTGGATTCATTTACCTCTATGCATTTGCTATTTAGGTAGTGTAAATGATTCCACATTTGCTCATACTTTTTTGACTATATTTTTTAATAAAAGTTTTTTAAAAATTCCTACTTGTGAAGAAATCTCTTATGTCAAGCTTTTGGAAGAAGACCTGTCTAATAGACATTCAGCTATATTAGAACTATTAGAAACACTTACACAGTGCAATTTTTTTGAAGAATTTGAAGCATTTGCTAATTCTAATATAGCAGAACCAGCAAAATTTCCTCTTATATATGAATTTATTAAATTTCGTATTTGGAATATTGCGATATATCAACAACAAATAGAAGGGTTGTTCAATCGCTATGACATGAAAGTTCACCCAAATATGAATGCTCAATTACAGGAATCACATATTCAACTCTCAGGCCTGGATGGTGGATTACAGGGAATGTCTCAAACCATGTTACGAGACGTTCAGCAAAATACTAAGGATCCTGAAATTACTAAGCAATTAGAAAGGAATATGGTTTCTAAAGAAGAAAAGACTTATGAAATTCTTAGCAGCTTTCTCTCCTGGCAGCATAACAAAAACCAAACTTAATAAGTCATACTGTACAATAAATAGAGTTTTTAATTTAATGTTAAATTGTAAATTTTTTCTTTGATTCTTGAAATCTTTATCATTATCTTGTACAACAAAAATAAAATCAGTCATATGATTTTATTTAGTAGATTAAATTCAGTAATTCAACTTCAAATTGAAGACGTTCATAATAAGTAAAATAGAATTCTAACGTTGTTACGATGTAAAGACGCCTTTTATTAAGCATTTTGTATTTACAGAATTAAAAAATGTTAAAATGTTAGATATTACGAGAGGAATTAAAAGCGAGAGAAGGCGATTTTCCTATGGTCTTTAATATTAAGTGCAGATCTTAAAAACGTTTCCTATAAAAAAATCGGATTAATGATCATCACTATAACACCTGCACTATGTTTGTAATTAGACTTGCATAAAACACCCTAATATTATACATATTAGCCCATATGTTGTACTAGTGCTTCGCAGGTCCGAATCTGAATCGTCGGATTGGATTCCAGAAGCTCGAGTTACACAAAATGGTAAAATTTTTTGGACATCACTAACCTGCTAGCTTAATTGAATGATGTCAAGCTTGTGAATATATGATTACGTTTAGTACTGCTATCGCTATAGTTTCATTTAAAACTTTAATGATTTAAATTGATTTATACACGTGGATACCGGATACAATTTGTATAAAACAGATACAACAGCAAATTAATATAAATATACCCAGGCATTATTCAAGAATAATACCATAACGATAAGTAGTGATAAACGGTACATAATACATATTAATTTGTTAATTGAAGTATTTTTTTTATCTCACATTAATTTTATTTTCGTGTTAATTCAATAACAAGCAAGCATTAAAAACATTTAAACATTTAAAGCAAGCACTTCAATCACCAATCTCAGAATATCTCAACCACACAATATGACAGATTCTTTAAAAAACAGACGTAATATCTTGCATTATTTCGAAGAAAGAGATGACAGCACTTTCAAATACAAATTGTGCCTCGATGATAAACCTTTTATTCTCAAATCAAAAGAAAAACTTAGAAACGCGAAAACTCATTTCTTCAAAAGGCATTCAGAAATCTGGAATACTATTAAACAACAACCAGAAGAAAGAATTCTCAACATACGCAAATTCAAACGAGTGCAGAAAAAAGCTATAACTAAAAACATCAATCAAAAATGGCGTGCTCAAAATTTTTCCAAAATTGGCACAAACGATCGAGGAATTGCTGAAACTACAAGCAATATTTCAATTGACAGTACTAATGAATTCGTAAGCAATCAAGAAACCATCGGTATCGAAATTCTATCCAATGAAAGTGAAATTTCAAATAATGTCAGTGGATTAATTGAAAGCGATCAAGAAACCAGCACCGAAACTCTATGCAATGAAAATGATGACAACATTGAAGTACACGAATGCGATCAAGAAATTCAAAATAACAGAGAAGCTATTGTCATCGAAGCTCTAAGCAATCAAAATAAAATTTCAAATAACAAACAAGCCATTATCGATAATATTAAAGAAATCGAAGCTACAGAAGATGTTTATATTACTAATGACCAAATCATCATCAAAGGAAAGTGCAAAATCTCTTTCAAATAAAACTTACAGTATATAGTATAAATTAGTTACGATATGTTAGCTAGTTCAGCATTAGGACTAATTTTGATTGTGATTTAAATAGCGGAATTGAATACTTATAATTCTGGTCAAATTTGCAGATCATTTGGCCAGATTCAGAATCAAAAATATTTTGAATTTGGCCAAACGATCGACAAATTTGACCAGAGTTATAAGTAATCGGTTCTGCTATTTAGTTCATAATCAAAATTAGCCCTAATGGTATCGGTATATAGTTGTATAAACGCATTATTTGTTTTTAACATTTTAAATTGATTAGTTGTTAGCTTAGTCAAATTTCGATTAATATCACTAGTTAAGGTTACGTTATATATAAATCTAAGATACAACGACGGTTCGAAGGCTGTAGTGATACAAAAATCTCACAAAAAAAAAAACTTTTAGAAGATAGTTTTATATGAGTTACAGATGTTTTTTGATTGTTTTTAAATTTTATTTTATTTTTTTTCCGTTCTGCACCTGATCCTGAAATTTGATCAGTCGGCGAAAATTTTGGAACATTAGATAGTTGCTAAAACTTAGTCTTTCACGTAATGTAAAAATAAAAAATTTAATGTAGTAGATCCTAATCATAATCTAATTTATGATTTCTGAAAGTCGTTTCCGAAAAGACATAATATGGGACTATGTCCTTTTGGAAAATTGGTTCAAGTTACATATTAAAAGAATAATTCAATTATCTTTTATATCTCTAATCCAATTTGAAACTTTTTTTCCCATTATTTCACCATATCCTATAAGAATTAATTATAATTAATTTTTTTTTTTTTTTTAATCTCAACGCTCTTAAAATTATTAATTAGAAATGATAAATTGCTCACCAAGTACAAAAGAATGTGGCATTCCCTGATCGCATAATAAAATCTTTCCTTCCGGAAACCTTTGTACCATATCTTCATAATGACTTAAGGGAGCCCAACGATCACCATTAGAAAAATAAAATACAAATTTATTTAAATTGGATCTATAGAATTCTTCTTCCAATTCAGTAATAGATTCCATTTCCGAACTTGCCATATAAAGCGCATTTTTAACTATATGACCGTGAAGTAATTTATCGGTAGTAACACTGAGATAAGGATCAGATTGGGCTGTACATAATTTTATCAATAATTTGAAAACTGAAGGAAATAAATTCGTGCGAATTAGTTGAACAAATGATGCCGAAATATTTCTTTGAAATTCTCCAAATAAGAGAGGCTATTGATTTAAGAATACGATGTCTAATTAATTCCAATCCAAGAACTTTACTAGAACATTTTTATTAATGGAAAAATTACGAGAGCTTACATTTAACACAGCACCATTAGGAGTTTTTAGAATATGTTGTAAAGTCGGAAATAAAGCGTATACCCTTTCAATTCCATGATTTGGACGCGCTTTCAATATCTACATATCAAAGAAACGATGATTAAAATTGCTATGTAATTGTTAGTTTTATAAACGATAGGGTTTTCATAGTAAAATTTTGGGCAAATTGTTATATTCTTTATATGGTATTAGAATATAGCTGATACTCGAGTAAAAAAAAAATTGATTCTACAGTATCAAGTAAACTTTTCTGGTATTTCTAATGATAGAAAAATAACCAAAATCGACTTAATAGGTCGCGAAATATGAGCTTCACAACCATCAATTTTTCTATGTAGATCCGCAAAGAAAAAAATAAAATCGCGAAACTTGAATAATTTTCATTTCGCGATCTACGGGACGATTGTGATTTTACTAATTATTAGAACTAGCAACACTAGTTCTACAACTTTTTTAAATTATTTACTTGATAGAGAAACAATTTTTTTTTTTTTACCATAAGGGGCAAAGTTTTTTACAGACGAATCACGAATTAATAAAACACCACACCTCTTTACAAATATGTCCTCCAACGGAATGGCCAGCCAAGATAAATTTTGGTTTTACATTTTGTTCTTTTTCAAATTTCTCTTTTAGCTTATCGAAACAGGTGATTTTATGTTCAATTTGATCTTGTAATGAATAAAGAGTTTCTGTCGTTTGATTGTGTGGATCGTGTGAATGTCCCAAATGTGACACTATCAGAATTTTTTAAATTAGTTTCGAGCTAGAACAAAAGTACATATATTATGTTCAATGTTGGCCCATGATCTATTATAACTTATAAATTTTATTATCATATTACATTATGACCACCTTGGTCATATAAAGTTGGATATGATCCAAATGGCCAACACCATTAATTTGAACTAAAACAATACCTCCAATTACATCAATTAGCTTATCATGTTCTTCATAAATCGTCATTAAAAAATTGGTATAATAATCGATAACACCAGGATTACCAGGTATCATAAAAAAAATCAAATTATTTCCAGATGATTTTTTGACTTGTTTGTCAGCTGGAAACCATAGTGTTTCTGTTAAGGTTCCTGAAATATCAAACGTTGTTTTTAACGGATATTCGTTTTCCGACATAATTCTTTGTTGAACACTTTTAAAATTATGAATTATTTCTGAATTAAAGAATTGTTTAAAAAAAAAAAAAAAGACGTGGGTTGCGGTGGTACATTTTTGATATCAATACATTTTTATATGAAATTCTAAATTTATTCAGATATATGCAATAAAAAAAAATTTCAACGCAACTCATGATAGCATTCCATACTGTCGGAAAATTTACTTAGTATAGGTGCACAAGATCAACTATTGTCACTCACAAACGTGATCGAATGCCAAATATGTATGCATGTAATTCTCCTTAACGTTAACATAAAATTATGTTATTACGCATGTATATTGCAGAATATACTTAAAAAATCCATTTTAAAACATATATATATATATACAATATACGTGCGTACGTACGTACGTACGTAAGTAGGTATACGTAACGATAACAAAGATTAACGTAAAGCACGAAATAAGTAATTGACCGTTCCACCATACTGTCCAAGCACTCTCCTAGCAAGATCGGCCGCATCAGGCGCAACACTAGGGCAATCCACCATGGACAGATGTTGCATCGATTTCCCACATTTCTTAACCAAGTATGCTATACCACTTCCGGTTATATTGGGACACAAATTAACGTTAATCATCTTAAGTTTATCACAACAATCTGCCAATTTCCTCAACGAATTGTCGGTTATATTATTTTGTTTCAATTCAATAATTTCCAATAGAGATCCACATCCAAAATCCATCATCACACTAATACCTGCATCAGTAATGCCTGGTGATTTTCCTATTCTGAGAACTTTCAGTTGACTACAATGATTTCCGATATATTGTATCGCTTCATCGGTTAATTTGTAACTTCCATTCAAGGTAAGTTCTTCCAAATTAACACAAGATATCACTAAATACCGAACGCAATTGTCGGTCAAATCTGGACACTCTTCCAAAACAAATTGTCGAAGCAGTGGACAAGACTCTGAGAATTTTAAGAATGCATCTTCGATACCCAATCCATCCTCATGCATATTTCCAAACATGCTAATACATTCCAAATTCGAAAGATAGGCCAAATTGACCAGAGTATGCGTTGTTATTCCAGAAATTCCATGTATATTTAAGTGAGTGATATTTGGAAATAGAATGATAATAAATGAAACCACTGCTTTGTCAATGCTTCGACAGCCATTCAAGTCAAGATCTCTAACTTTTAACGCTTTACATTGTTCATCTCCTAGATCGAACGCTTGAGTTGTTACCTTGCATAATGACAAATTTAATGTTTCAAGTTGAGGACAATGCAGTAATATTGTTCTAACTGTTCTATTAGAAGCCTGAGTGTTTGAAAGATTAATTGTTCTTAATTGTGAACCAATCGTACGAATGAATATAACTATCGCGGTTTCATTGATTGACCCATTTGATGTTAATTCAAATACTTTTAAATAATGGCATGGAACCGCTCTAAAAGCCTTTAAAGTTCTTTCGCTAAGTTTTTCTGCATTACGACATATAAATTTCTGAATTCGTAATTTTCCACGATTCACATACGTACTAACAACTTGATCAGTAACTTTACTGTATGGTCGATTAAGA